GTCCTCCAGAACTTCTGTTACCTGCCACTCACAGAAGCAGATAAAGGACGAGCTAGGATAAGAGTCTCAGAAATTTTGACAGTGCTTTGTGTGTTTATTAGCAAGATGGTTCTACCCGTCTACCGCAGCAAGAGAAACAAAAATATTATTTTAATGATGTGTAAAACAAGTTTTTTAAGCAGTTTTCCATCTTTTGAGATTTATATTCTAATTTCTGGTCTACTTTTCTTTAAAAGACAGATTTTCCAACCTCTCCCTAGTGGTTTTTCATTCATGAACAGAAAAAAAATCAGCATGCTCATGCCTGACCTTGACAGGCTTGAGGTGTGGGCTTGTGCAAATTTTGTGCAGTTCAACAAGGAAAAGTCCAAGGTCCTGCACCTGGGTCGAGACAATCCCAAGCACAAATACAGGCTGGGCAGAGAATAGATTGAGAACTAGGCCTAGAGAGAAAAACTTGGGGATGTTCATGGACTAAAGGATCAATATGGCTTGGCAGTGTGTGCTTGCAGCCCAGAAGGCCAATGATGTACTGGTCATCAAAAGCAGCATGGCCAGCAGGTCAAGGGAGACAAGTCTGCTCCTCTGCTCTTGTGAGACCCCACCTGGAGTACTGTGTCTTGGTCTGGGGCCGCCAACAAAAGAAAGACAGGGACTTCCTGGAATAAGGCCAGAAGAGGGCCATGAAGATGATCAGAGGGCTGGAACACCTCTCCTGTGAAAACAGGCTGAGAGAGTTGGGGCTGCTCATCTGGAGAAAAGAAGGCTCCATTAAGACCTTATAGCACCTTCCAGTACCTAAAACAGGCTTACAAGAAAGCTAGAGAGGGATATTTCACAAGAACATGTAGTGATAGGACAAGGGGTAATGGCCTTAAGCTGCAGGAGGGTGGGTCTAGATTAGATATTAGGAAGAAATTCTTTACTGTGGGGGTGGTGAAGCACCGGGACAGGTTGCCCAGAGAGATTACGGACTACCCATCCCTGGAGGTGTTCAGGCTAGGATGGATGGATCTCTGAGTAACCTGGTCTAGTGGAAAGTTCCCTGCATGTGGCAGGGGGTTTGAAACTAGATGGTCTTCAAGGTCCCTGTCAACCCAAGCCATTCTATGAATCTAAGATCTGTCAACCGACATAAGATATATTGTGTATCCAAACTAATACACTGACAAAATTCAATCTATTGTGGTACCTTTTTATTTCAGCAGTCCTGTTAAGGACCTTTCATGATATGGTGCAGTACAAGCTGAGTGTCAAACCATCACAAGTACATAGAAATACAAGTGCAGATAAAAATGCTTCACAATGTTGGAAAACTTCAGGCATTAAGCTGATGCTGTTGTGTTGAGTAAAAAAAAGTAAGGAAAAGTCTTGAAAAAAGACACCTTCTCACCCGTAGGCTTTTTACCCTTCTGAGCTCAAGTTTTGTGTCACTACGGGTTCTGTCAGTTGGATCTCTAGTCCTGGAAGGGCAAGGTGAGACTGACATGCTGAACCAACTACTCTTCAGGTGGTTGTCCACTTAATGAAATCCACAAGTCCAGTCAGATCCCTGTACTCTTCACTGATGCATAGAGATAAACAATTGTTCTAACCACTTAAAAATGGTGTAGAAAGCTATCTAGAAAACACATACACAGCCCACTGAGAACCAAAATAGAGCCATGGAGCCCTTCAGGCTAATTTCTGCTAGGGCTCAGCCTCAGTATGAGAAAATTCTGCTTAAAATATAAATAAGTACTCTTGAGGAAAAATAGCTTACTTAAACCAAGAGCCATAGCACTCCTGAAATGAGAGCATGCTGATAAAGTGATGTTGCATTTCCTAGTGGGTTCACATGAATAACCAGTCAATCAATCATGACTGGTTGTTTTTTAAATTTCTAATGTGTCTGACTTGAGTTCTTTACCCACAGAATACAATTTTCTATTTCTCTGTCTGATCCAATAACTGCTTATGTGATAGACACATATTCTGCTTGGATAAAATGAAGGGGGGAGAGTTGTAGGAAGATATTTGAAAACAATTTTTATTAAAAGGTGAACCGAGACTATTCTGGCTAATTTCATTGTGACAGCTTTGTCAAAGAATTAAGTCTAATAGTTAAAAGACACACTAGGAACCTTACACTCTCGAGTCTGCACTGACCCACTTTATAGTCTTGGATGAATCATTCATTTCTCTTTGGCTTTGCAATCATTCAGCAAGGTAACTCTGCAAATGGAGGAATGTAAACCTTTTCTTTTGCTCCATTTGGATTTTTAAGGGTTTTGGCTGATTTAGTTTTTTCTTTGATGGGTTGCATACTGGGATTGGTAGAAAAAAAAAGCATTATGTTTGGAGAATATTATGACTGAAGTATTTTTCAGTGTACTGAAAAGCTAAGTTCTTTGGATCTTTTTGATTTCTCTCCCCACTCTGACCCCCTAGTTTTTGTGAAAATATTGTGTACATTTGTCCTGTTCAAGGATTTTCCCTGCTTATGGAATGGTCTTCATTAGCTCCTTCTCAACTTGGTTTCTATTATGAAGTTTGTTTTTATTCAGATTCTTGGTTTCCATGATAGCTCATCACTCCCCAGCTGTCTCTACTCCTTTGATTTGCATACTATGACTGGGCATATGACAGCTATAGCTTGTTGGTAACTACGCTGTCTAGAATGTGTCTCTCCTAATGTTCTGCCTGAGTTTTGGTCTCCTTCCAGACCAGAGAAGGTCTTTTGTCTTTTTTCAATGCATTTCTTGTTTTGCATGCAAAAGTCCAGCAGTTGCATTTCCTTGTATTTTATTAACTCTTTTCCTGAAAACACTTTGCAATATACTCTACTCCTACTTCTTATTTATGGAATACCTTCAGTCACTCCTATTAACTTCCTTTCTTCTGTATTAAACTAATGCAGAAAACCCAGTGTGTTTTCTCTCATGCCAGCAGAATGGCCAGTCTCACATTTTCAAGCATCCAAAGGCTGTCTGAAGCATCAGATCTTACCTTGGAAGCTTGAAAACAGGTGATGATATCTACCCTGATCTTCCTTTTTGTTTTCTTCTCATGGAGCTCTGTCTTGCAAACCTCTCTGGACAGTCCATAATCCAAGAATACCATGTGGAAGGATATTACACACACAAAGTTGTAAATCACACTGGCAGCTTCTGCTTGCTTTTTTGCTCTTTGCTGGAGACTACTCAAATAAGACCATTGAAATCAAATGAGTAATTTACTAACTTGGAATATGAGAAGAATCTGCCTTCAGAAAATTCAGACACCTTTGTGATAAAGGTATGATATGACTTGACCCAACCAAAATAAACATGTCACACCCAGCTTTTTTTTTCCTCCACTTTTTTTTTTCAGATGTGGACTATGTGCCATAATTTGGCTGCAATGTCAGTCTCAGCTTTTTATCAATCATGAAAATATGTGGTATCCTTTTCTCTAGAATTGGGCAGTTATTTTTTTCCGTGGTATGAAATATTCTACTGTCCTTTCATTCTGGGCTGGTTAAAATCTGTCCCTTTCTTACAACATTCTGCTTTGTCTGTACTCCTACTCAGAGGTATTTTACTAGCTTATCTCCTTTTATTATTGTTTAAGGGGAGAAAGTGTTTCCAGTTGCCAGTTGATAAAATAAGAAGTGAATGGCAGCAACCTACAATTTTATGAAAGAATCTGGTTTTTAAATTTAAATGTAGCTGGCGTCACTTATCTTCGTATAGCTTCTGCCTATGTGGAAAAAATCTCTCTTTTTATAACTGCTTGTCAGCTGAATAATAGAATGGGGGGAGCCAACTTGAAAGACATGGCTGATTGGTGCAATTGAAAGGGGCTTTACAATTAGAGTTCTGGCAGAACACAAAAAAGAAATTGTCTGGCCATGAAGAACGGAGCCTACTTTAGAATTCCCTTTTCTCAGCCAGATAGCATGCATCACTGTTCATGCATTCTCTTGACATTGAATAGAGGACTTCAGAGCTACCACCCCAAATTATCCCTTACTGTTTAGTTCTATTTGTGATATTTGTTTGGTGGAGGAAAAAAAAATCTCTATTACTGACTGTAATGGCATGTGGCTAAATTCCATTCCATTTATGCACTTAATCTCTTAAGCTCATTTCCCCTCCCCCCCCAATATTGCAACACACATTTTACTTTGATTAACTCTTTTTAGATTATAGGAAAAAAACCCCAAGATTTGTCTTATTCTCATCTTCTCTCCCTTCCCTTCATTTTACTTCCTTTTTCTCCTTTCATTCCTCTTCTCCCCCCCCCAAATAGTTGTGTATGTGAATCAAAAGAGGAAGGAAGCCCTTGCAGGTGTGTTTTGGATTACAGCAGTAGAACAATAGGGCAGCCTTCAATTAACTCCATACCTATTCACAGGGAATATTTGTTCCCTTGTCTCCAGCGTTATTTAATATCTGAAACCGTCGCTTACTACACAATGTACCTGGTGATGAGAACAGGCTTTCAATTCCATTTGAACTCTTCTGTGTCATACAATTAATGCACCAGAATTTTTTTTTTAATTTACTCTTAAATCATCATGCATATGAGTGCCTGTGGGCACAAAGGAATAACAGAATACATGCAACCGTGATGTGTCTTTCACCGCCTTGAAGACAGTGGTGGGGGAGGGAGGGAAGATGTTGGTAATGGCATGCATTTGACTCCTTCCTACATGCAAAATCAACATGCTAAATATTTATTTTATATTTCCATAAATCTTAGAGATTTAAAAGCACCCCTGTCAAGGTAGCTTTCATCATTTTTACACTATATGTTTTAAATTGCTGTTATATATAACAGCCACTGAAAGCTTAACAGTGACATTTTTTTTCTGACTGAAATACTTACTGTTTGTAGTTACAGAGCTGCTCATTAGGGCTATTTTTATCCTTTCTTTTAAAGAAGTACAGGAGAGTGTGAAGCTCCCAAATCCAGGCAGTAGCTGAAGAAGGGGAAGGGAAGAGTCAGCCTCTGTTCTATTCTTTGTTTATCACAACCAAACCTGTTTTATTCAGAAAATTCATATTCCAATACAGGGAGTTCTTTGGTGTTTGGTAGGTTTTTCGGTTTTTTGGTGTTTTTTTAAAAGGAAAAAAAATTGCAGACTATCCTGGCAAAAATCAGTGGCTTTGTTAAAGGAAATGTCACAGATTTTATAAGCAACATCTTGATTTGTGGCACGGGGAAACAAATATTTGAAGACTGGAGTGAGGGGCAGGTGATGAAAAAGAAAAATTTTCACATGAGAGAGAATATTTTTTTAAACAGCTCTCCTCATGAATTCTCATGACTTGCGGCAGCCCTTTAAGGGAGTGTGAGGTGGCTGGCATTGTTGGCTATGTTCCCTGAACTTAACATTTCCTATGCCACAAAGATTCAAGAGAGGTTTACCAGTACTTGAATATTCAGATTATGCTATGGATCTTTTGTGAAAAGCCTTAAAGCTTTAGCATAATTTGAGGACAAGTCTGCATTTTGAATTGTGGCAACAATAAGACAGATTCATCTTTTACAGTCTGAACTGGGGACAGCATGATTTATCTGACAAGAGTCTCACAAAGAAAGGAATCTTATTATGGAGGTGGTTTAGCCTTGCTCCAGTGTCATGTTGAAGGCTTTCCCAATAAACATGGCCATATATAAGTTAATAAATGAGAAAAAAAGTAATCTGAACTGAGAAGACAAAGGTGACACAAGTGTTTGGTATACAACTTCTTTTCACTTGTGCTGTTGTCTCAGATCCTAGCGGGACTCACTTGAGGTAACCTGCTGGGTCATCTGTTCTTGCACAGACCTTGGTTTTATTTTTCTTTCACAATAGATGAAGTCAGTCTGAGACCAGATTCTAGGTCAGCTATAAAGACGTAACTTTAATTACCTGGTGGCAGAGTTCTTTAATGCATCAGCTTTATGTTGTTCAACCCAAAATAGCTCTGCACAAGACTTTTGAAAGTTTGATCCCAGGAGGTTTACTCTAAGGTCTCGATATCCACTCCTTACTCTCCCCTCCTTACTCTTTGGAATCTGGGTCAGCCCAAAGTGACAGAAATGCAGGCAACTGGAATTGCTACTCATTTTGCAAACTTGGGCTGGAGTGTGTAATGAAGGATGATTGTGCTACCTGGCGCGAGCAAGGGAATTTATCTCAGTGATATGTTATTCTCCTTGGTGCACAGCTCAGACTCCTTTGACTCACTTCAAATTCTGAGTGCTTCCTATTGCTCTGTGCACTATCACTGGGCTGCTTCACCTTTTCAAGCATGTTTTCTTAATGCAATAGTCTTGTAAAAAAATTATCCCCCATGAAAGTGGAGAAGCAGGTAGGTACAATAACAAGTGAAAATCCAAAGTCTAAATCTTCCTTCAAACTCACCATGAAAGTGCCCCTTGCTCTGATCTGGAAGTCCACGTCTCTTATCTGCAAATGGTATTTCTCTGAAGGATGAGGGTGCTGCTTAACTGTATAAAGGTTTTCACTTAACAGTACCACTTTTATGCTGGAGCTCATAGCAAACTTTAATCCTTCTGCAAAGCTTTAAATCCTCTCCCTCCTATGTAAATTTCTTCACAATTTAAGCTTTCCTTCCACAGGCAGAATTCATTTTTTTTCTGTTTGTGAATCAGAAATAGTATTTCAGGGACCTTGAGAGGTCAGCTAGTCCAGTTTCTCCATCAGCTCAAGATCAGCTCCTGACTGTTTTCAGGCTTTTGAAAACATCAAATAATGAAGATACTGTAGTTTTCTTAAGAAATGTATTTATAAAACTACCCTTAAAACTACAAAGTAATTTTTAATGTCCCTTCTAAATCACTGCTGTTGCACTTTGGGTAGGAGCATCAGGCTAAGACGCTTGCTTTTGGTGATGAATGAAAGTATCAAATAAGCCGCAGTGAAGTTGATCTTTCTCCAACCTACTTATGTTTTGTGTCAAATTTCTGTTGAGGAGCTGCTTACGTTTTCAGCCTTGGAAGATGAATGAAATATTTCAACAAAAAAATTCATTTGGTATATTTATGCGCAGTGGCTTTAAGTTTAGGGCAACACCGTTTTTTGTCTGTACACAAATAAACTCACTTTGTTACCACGACACAATTGATAGTTAATTATCGTCATAATCAAAGCAAGTGAGATTCTTATTTTCTCTGAAATAATTTATCCTTCTGAATTCCAAACACATAGCAGTTTCTAATAAATAATTTAGGCTATTTGTGTATCCTCCAAGTTTTGATCTTTTCTTCACAGATTCTTCTTCAACATCTTGGGGAAGTTGTGGGTTTTTCCTATATTACACAGAGAACGGGTCAGGCAATCAATTGTATGAATATTAAGAGAAGTGGAAGGAAAGAATGGAAGCTCTCCCTCATTATTTTAATTTCTCACTGAAAAGACCTCTCAACTCTGTTTATATATAATACAAGTGTTAAATATGGGTGTATTAATACTGATTATAGTCCGAACTCTTTAAAGAATCTCGACCCAAAGTGGAACTTTGTCTGTCATTAATTTGAATTACTTCCACTTGTGTCAGCACTATTTAAAAGGAATCAATGAAGGTTTCTGAAGAAAAAGCCTTGTCATCTACTCCCAAATGGACTAAATTAATTAAACTGTTCGAGCCAAATCTATGACATGTTTTATATATTGTTACTTTTTATGGATTTGCTGCCTACATTGATTGAATTGAGAAGATGAGCTTTTCTAATAGGACAAAAAGGAGATGTACTGGGTTGGGGGTTTTTTTGTTTGATTTTTAATGTATTTGTACAAGTTAATGTGGGAGATAAACAGTAGGACTGTCCTAGCTAAGCATGTCAAAACCTTCACACCTCCAGAAGAAAGATGGGAGAAGATTTATTTTTTTATTTAAACAATCCATTCCCAAGAGCACAACCTGTGGAAGACAACTGCCTCAAGAAGTGTGTTAGTGTGCTGAGAAATCAAACCCCTTTTTGATTGCCAATGTGCTCACACAGCTTTTCCTCCTGTGAGGGACTGTAACAAAAGCGTATGGACAGGAGGAACTGTTATTAACTGTGTGTCACAGTTGATAGAGAGGAAAAATATCCATTAGCTTAAGCTAACCTGCATTGAAAAGCTTTAGGAAGAGATACAAAAAGGCTAATGTTAGTCCAGTGAGGTTAATCTCCCTAGGCTCCTTTCCATAATAAGTAGAGAGAAAAATAGACTGGGCTGTTGCCTGAATGAGTTCAAGTCGATCTCATTCCCTGGGCCTCCTCCTGCAGACCAATTTCTCACCTCTGCAGTGTGGGTGAACCTCTGGGAGGGTGATGTCATACGTTTAATAACTATTCTTTGATAATATACCATGGATTCCCCTTACAGGGTTAAACTATCCTGCAGCTGGTAAAGGTTTGGGCATGAGTAAAATTTTTATCCAACATCTTATGTGTGAAGAGAAATCATCATCTTTGGTGACTGATGACTGGATCTCCATGAACCTGGGCATAGTCTCCAACATTGCAGCTGTACAGAGGGAAAAGATGAAACAAAGACCTCCCAAAAAGACTTTGCCCATGGTTCCTCAGGTAGAGTCCTCATTCCCACTTGGGTAAGCAGGTTTGTGGTGGCCCTCTCCTTGCCCTTGCAGTACCTGAGCATTCTCAGGTGCAGGGCTAAGCTGGTGGCCCTTGCACATTCCAACCAGCAATTTCTCTTCACTCTTATGTAGGTTGTGGAGTTCAAGTGGAAAGAGGAAGCAGAGGCTGGGTGGCAGAACAGCAGCAAGCATTTTCATTATTTTTGCAAAATCATTATCTGTTTCTAGGTTATAGGCATAGGCAACCATTTGGCAGGCACCCAAAAGCATATGCCTAAATCCCTATGTCTGTAGAGAACATAGTAGAGTAGGATCTTGACCTGTGACTCAGACACTCATGCAGTGCAAACAAAGAAAAAACTTGAATAGTGACTAATAATTGACTGTATAAGAGACTTTAGATCTTATTCCAGTTTACAGTAAAGATTGGACTTAATAAGGATTCCCCGGATTGCAGCGAGGTGCTGTAGCTTAACCAAAAGGAGGTTTATAGCCTCCTGCAAAATTTTCCCAATGTGCTTTCTGAAAATGCTTTTTTTCTCTGACATTTTTTTCAAGAAAAAAAAGTATTTGCAGCCCTGGAATGCCTTGCCAAAGATAATGGGAAAGAAGAAAAGAAGAAAAATGAAAAAGAATGTAAATGTCCACTTTAATTATTTCCGTATCTTTCGACTAGATAGGTTTGCACAGTTAATTGCAAAAATGATTAAGACAAATGCTATTAGTCACCATTTAAATCCTTTTTAGAATAGCAGAAATGTTGATAACGGGAATAAGCTTATCCCAGGCCAATGCATTTTACCAATAATAGATTTACTGACTAGAAGGTAAATGAGGGAGCAAAAAAACTGAAGAGCTGTTAGAGAGTGGCAGTCAGAGCAGTTCTCCCAACACTCAGAAGAAATGGGGCAGAGAAACATGGGTTGAAGTTTATTGTGTTTTAACCTCTTTTTACAGAGAATAAGTTGTACCTGGAAACATGTTCAGTTATTTTCTAATATAGTGTTAATTTTCAGGTGAAACTGTATTAACAAAGTGACGGCATCAGTGCAGGCATGTAGGTAAAGAGTAAAGGGGAGTATATTAGTTCTCAGATTGGAGAGGACAAAGGAATTGTTTTCCCAGATGCAGATTCTCCTATTACCTATGACATGATATACCCAGTGCTCCTGTTGTTCTTCAGTAAGTTTCCTTTCGAGGTTCAATGTACAGTGACCCTCATGGCAGGTGGTTTTACGAACACAAAATATCAAGTTGTTTGGGGACAATTTATCACTGCTGGTATTGAAGCTGTGGTTGATAGCATACCAGGTAGGGAAAAGCACTGCTTTTCTGAAAAGCTCTGGGTAGATGGTTCTCTGGAGCGTGGTCCAGGGTCTTTTAGCTGCAAAATCCCATCTAGGAGGGGGAGACTATCCAAAATGTCCTCTCAGCATCTAGCCTG